GTGAATTTCGTGAATAGTGAAATTTTGTCGGCGATACGAATTTGTCGACGGAGGTGTTCAAATACACGGCAGTTCGCAGAAATTGTCAAAAACGATTCAAAGAAGCCAGATTCGAGTGGGAGCGATGGCTGCAGATGAAGGGAAGGTGAAAATTGAAAAGTTCGATGGTGCGGACTTTGGCTTTTGGAAGATGCAGATCGAAGATTTTCTGTACCAGAAAAATCTATATCAACCCCTCTCAGGAAAGCAACCAGAGGGCATGAAGGATGAAGATTGGGCTCTTCTCGACAGACAAGCCCTCGGAGTTATCCGACTGACGTTATCCCGCAATGTTGCTTTCAACATAGCAAAGGAAAAGACCACGGCGGGTCTTATGGCGGCTCTCTCCAGTATGTATGAGAAGCCATCGGCCTCAAACAAAGTTCATTTGATGAGGCGATTATTCAATTTGCGGATGACGGAAGGGGCATCGGTGGCACAACACCTAAATGAACTCAACACAATCACAACCCAGTTGAGTTCAGTGGAAATTGAGTTCGATGATGAAGTTCGAGCTTTAATTTTCTTATCATCTCTACCAGATAGTTGGAATGCTACTGTTACAGCAGTCAGTAGCTCGTCGGGAAACAGCAAATTGAAATTCGACGATGTTCGGGATCTGGTATTGAGTGAAGAAATTCGACGGAGAGAATCGGGTGAAGCGTCAACCTCCTCAGCCTTGCACACGGAGTCTAGAGGAAGAACTTCAGAAAGATATTCAAATCGTGGCAGATCAAAATCCAGACGGGAAAAATCCAGAACGGGAAAGAAAGATTTTACCTGTTATAATTGTGGCAAGAAAGGTCACTTTAAAAGAGATTGCCGAGTACTGAAGAAAGATACCAGTGCACAGGAATCTGCCAATGTGACAGAGGAGACAGGTGATGCCATGATTTTAAGCGTCAACAGTCTGATTGAATCATGGATTTTGGATTCAGGGGCATCTTTCCACTCCACGCCATGCCAAGAAATCATGGAGAACTATGTCAGTGGTGATTTTGGGAATGTTCATCTTGCTGATGATGAAACTTTGAAGACCGTCGGAAAAGGAGACATCCGACTAAAGCTGCCAAACCAGACCACCTGGAAGCTGACAGGAGTGAGACATATTCCTAGTCTCAAAAGAAATTTGATTTCTGTAGGACAACTTGATGGAGAAGGATACAGTACAACTTTTTCAGGCTGTGAATGGAAGATTACCAAAGGAGTACTCGTCATTGCTCATGGTAAGAAGACTGGTACTCTCTATGTAACCTCAAATTTAGAGAATATCATTGCAGTAGCAGATGCTGATGGAAAATCAAACCTATGGCACCAAAGGCTTGGTCATATGAGCGAGAAAGGAATGAAGATACTTCTGTCAAAAGGGAAGCTGTCGGATCTAAAGAATGTAGATGTCGGACTATGCGAGGATTGCATCTTTGGCAAACAAAAGAAAGTCAGTTTTACAAAGATTGGCAAGACTCCCAAGGCAGAAAGGTTAGAATTGGTTCATATTGATGTATGGGGACCATCCCCAGTTTCATGTCTTGCAGGCTCACTATATTATGTCACATTCATCGATGATTCAACAAGGAAGGTATGGGTTTATTTTTTGAAGAAGAAATCAGAAGTCTTCGATACCTTCAGAAAATGGAAGGCCATGGTGGAAAATGAGACTGGTTTGAAAGTCAAGCGGTTGAGGTTTGATAATGGAGGAGAGTACAGAGATAATAGATTCAGAGATTTCTGCGCAAACAATGGGATCAAGATGGAGACAACAGTTCCCATAACACCGCAGCAGAATGGCGTAGCAGAGCGCATGAACAGAACTCTGAATGAACGTGCCAGAAGCATGAGAATACATGCCGGATTGCCCAAATTTCTATGGGCTGAAGCTATCAACACTGCAGCTTACCTGATCAACCGTAGGCCCTCAGTTCCTTTGGATGGCGGAATACCAGAGGAAGCTTGGAGCAAGAAAGAAATAAACCTTTCACACTTAAGAGTGTTTGGTTGTATTTCTTATGTACACATAAACTTTATTGAAAGAAGTAAACTTGATGCTAAGTCCAACAAATGTGCCTTTGTTGGTTATGGCGGTGATGAGTTCGGTTACCGGTTTTGGGACTATGAAAATCGGAAGATCATCAGAAGCAGAGATGTCATTTTCAATGAGAATGTGATGTACAAAGACAGGTCAACCGCAGAATCAAGTAATACCGAAGTTGAAACAAAGGAATTTGCTGAGTTCGAGGAGATTTCTGGAAATGATGTTCAGATCAGTCCTGAAGTAGTTCAAGAGGAAGAACCAGGCACACCAGAACTGAGACGCTCCTCCAGAATTCCTAAACCAACCCAACATTATTCGCCTTCTTTGCACTACTTGTTGCTGACTGACAATGGTGAACCAGAGTGCTATGATGAAGCAATGCAAGTGGAGGATTCAGTCAAGTGGGAGTCTTCCATGAAAGATGAGATGGACTCGCTTATGTCAAATCAGACATGTGAATTAGCTGAATTACCACCAGGCAAGAAAGCGCTCCACAACAAGTGGATTTACAGGATCAAAGAAGAGCATGATGGGAGCAAACGCTACAAAGCAAGATTGGTAGTCAAAGGTTTTCAGCAAAAAGAAGGTATTGACTACAATGAAATTTTCTCTCCAGTCGTAAAACTGTCTACAATCAGACTGGTGTTGTAGCTGCAGAGAATTTACATCTTGAGCAGTTAGATGTAAAGACAGCTTTCCTTCATGGTGATTTGGAGGAAGAAATCTATATGAGGCAGCCATAAGGATTCATAGAGGCAGGAAAGAAAAACCTGGTATGCAGGTTGAAGAAGAGCTTGTATGGTTTAAAACAAGCTCCTAGACAGTGGTACAAGAAGTTCGATAGTTTCATGGGTAGCAGTGGTTTTACCAGATGCCAAGCAGATCATTGTTGCTACATCAAGAGGTTCGACAATAGCTTCATTATTTTATTGTTGTACGTTGATGACATGCTCGTTGCAGGCTCAAACATGCAAGAGATCATAAACTTGAAGCAAAAATTGTCAAAGCAGTTTGCTATGAAGGATCTGGGCGCTGCAAAGCAGATTCTTGGGATGAGGATCAAGAGAGGCACAAAGTCAGGGACTTTGATGTTATCACAGGCTGAGTACATCAATAAAGTACTCTCCAGGTTCAACATGCAAGATGCTAAACCAGTAAGTACACCTTTAGGTGTTCATTTCAGACTCTCCAAAGAACAGTCACCAAAGAAGAAGGAAGAACGTGCACACATGGTGAAGGTGCCGTATGCCTCAGCAATTGGAAGTCTAATTTATGCCATGGTTTGTACCAGACCAGATATTGCTCAAGCAGTGGGAGCTGTTAGCAGGTACATGAATAATCCGGGAAAAGTACACTGGGAAGCAGTCAAATGGATCCTCAGATATCTGCGGGGTACTACAAACAAAGCACTTTGTTTCAAAGGTGGAGATACGATACTAACAGGCTATGTAGATGCTGACTTAGCCAGAAATGTCGACATCAGAAGGAGCACTACAGGGTATGTCTATACTCTAGGAGGAACCGCAGTGAGTTGGGTTTCTCAACTACAGAAGATAGTTGCTCTCTCCACAACTGAAGCAGAATATGTCGTTGTTACGGAAGCTAGCAAGGCGATGGTTTGGCTCCAAAGTTTCTTGGATGAGTTAGGTAAGAAACAAGAAAACAATGTCTTGTATTGCGACAGTCAAAGTGCTATCCATCTAGCGAAGAATCCGTCTTTTCATTCCAGGACGAAGCCCATATAATTGTAATATCATTTTATCCGGTCTCTTCTGGAAGATGGGATTTTGAAACTTGAAAAGATCAGTGGAGCTCAAAATCCAGCAGACATATTAACAAAGACGGTAACTACGGACAAACTGAAGTTGTGTTCAGCTTCAGTTGGCATGCTAGAATAAAAGACCAGAAATACTGCTGCATCGATCGAGGTGTGAAGACAGATTGAAATCAGTCTTCAAGTGGGAGATTGTTGAAAATTAAAGAACAAGTTGGGCTGCTAAGTAGCAGCCGGCTGCTAAAACAAATTGGGGAGGGGGGCTGCCCAAAATATTTTTATTTTTAATTACAATATTAGTCCCTAAGTTTTAACTATAAATACCCTAGCTCATTTAGCTTCAAAATCATCCCAAAATCTTACAGTTCTCTCTCAAGTGTGTTTTGTAAACACTTGTAATTTTTCTCTTCAGTAAAAGATCTGCAGCAGTCCGGAGACGTAAACACAATTGACTGAACTCCGTTATCAATTTTTCGGGGTATTATTTTTCCGCTTTTATTTCGTATTCTCACTAATCTGGCTATAGGGAAATTACTTGTTCTCGTTATATTTCCTAACAAAGAGCTTTACGCATCTGGGTTCGATACTTTATTTCCGCCATGGTTAGGTGAACAGTTTTGCTGAAAAGTACTAGGTACATCAGCAACAACTTGTAACAACAAAAAACCAACTAAGATGAAAAGATTCAAGTATGACCAAGTTGTGGTCGGGGATAAGATGGTCATGGAGCAGAAGTAGGAGATGATCAACAAATAGAGTGGGAGGGCGAGCAATAGGAAAAGTCAAAAACTTGAGAGGAGGAACACTGTTAGCAGCTCCGTTAACCCGAATGTTGCGAGGTTTAAAAACCAAAACAAAGTATAGAACTGAGGGTTCATGATGGTCATACTGGCTTCCCTCGTTTCCTTACCGAAAATGAATCTAATAGTGGAATTGCCCGAGGGGGAACTGTTATCGTCTTGCCAAACACCGCCGGGTGGGCTTAATGACGATTGGTAGATTACTGTAATAACCAGAACCATAACACCTAGCATTGTGTCGATCATGTCGACGACATACTGTTCCTCGTACGGTCTCCAACTACTCTTATTATCTCAAAAAGTACTTCTTTCAACTGCTTAATCTTGTTATCACCTTCGTCACACATGTCGATGTTCACCCCTTCTCGTTTGAACCGTCAAACCTTCCGAGTTCTTTAGCTTTTACGTCTAACCAACGATGGGACTCTAACAACAGTTTTAATGCCTGAATCATTAAGGGTATATGAACTCGGATCATTAATGGAAAGGAAATGCTATTTTTAGCTACATGAACAAATAGAATTGCGTATACCTCATGTTGTCTATTCATAGCCGCAATGTGCAACACATTGTTGTTATCGTTGTCTTTCCGGTCCACCAATTTCCTTTTGAAGGCGAAGATACTACCATGAGTATGATGGGTCCTTTGAAGCCATCCGATTAGGAGGTTAAAAGCTTCGATCTGGTCTTTGGTCAAAGCACGATGTAAAGCAGTCTCATCTCGAACCGTCACATCTTCGATGCAGCAGGGGCAAGCTTCAAGAAACTCGACTAAAAGCCTCGAGTTCCTGGTTGCAACTACGTAATGGAAAGGAGTCATCCCTTCCCTTCCTTTGACACGGCCGAGGTCTTTATCGATCTTCAACAGTCGAAGCACTAGCTCGGTTCCACCGTTCATGGAAGCCAAGTGCATCAGGCTAAACCCGTCTCGGTTCAGCATCCTGGCGAACGAAGGCTTCAACAGTCATGTTTGTAACATTTGATAGATAATTATTTTAGTTTTTATTTTAATTTTTTTGAATGTTTTATTTTCGGACAAAAAATTTCAACTTGTAGAAAAAAAATTAGTTAACAAACGGTTAACACTCTAAAATAAGAGTCTTTTTGTCTTAAAATGAGACGTTGGGATCAAAATACTAAAATTGTAATATGGGCCAAGGAGACTATTTAATCAAATATTAGTATTTTTTATCTTAAAATGAAACACTAAGAGTCACAATACTAAAAAAAATAGAAATCAACATAATTATTTGATCGACGTTAAGAATATTTGTTTTATATTATTCCTCTTCTTTTAGAGAAGATGAATTATATCGAAGCAAAATTGAGTATTGATAACCTACAAATTAATTTTTTTTACATATTCTCTCAGTTTATATATATATATATATATATATATATATGCAGCACCTTGCAAATCATCTAAATTCACAAACATGTCATAGTACATTGGCATACATACAAACATATACATATACATATGCATATGCATATGCATATGCATATGCACATATTTAGGCATCAATATCTCCACTCTGCGATTCGTCTTCTTCCTTATTTTGATGGCCACATCTCGTGGGTTGAATTTCCCACAAACGCTAACCCTACATTGCTTCTTCTCTATCAGATGTGTTTCCAACTCTACACACACATAATGTCAAAAAAATATCTCTCAAGTTCGAATATTAAATAGTTATTTTTTATTTCTAAACATTTTTATAGAACACTTTGATCCTAATATTTCATTTTAGGACAAGTGTCTCTAACGTTTGATTAAATAATTATTTTATCCATTATTCTTTCTTTTTCTGGAAAACTGACCCCAACGATTTATTTTAAGGTAAAAAGATTCATATGTTTTGAGCGTTAATCATTTGTTAAATAACGATTTTCTTATATTGATGTTTTTCCCCAAAAATAAAACGTTATGTGTCAAAATGCTCTAAAAAATAAAGAAATCAAAATGTCTTTAACCTTTGATTTAATAGTTGTCTTGAATCCTAATCTTTTTATTTTTGAAGCATTTTGACTCCTAACATTTCATTTTAGAATAAAAAGGTCTCTAACATTTGACTTTAGCCCTTATTCTTTCTTTTTTGACATATTGGCCCCAATATTTCATTTTAAGAAAAAAGATTTCTATTTTAGAGCATTATACAAAAAGGTAATTTTATCCAAAAATGAAATGTTGCCAAAATGCTCTAAAAAAGAATAAGGGTTAATATGACTATTAACTCAAATTTTAGAGGCATCATTTGTCATCATGCAATTAAAAAAACGCTTGAAATTAACCATCTTTAGCGTTCTCATTAAGCATATTGTATGAAGATGATAAAGATTTGATCTCACCTTTCATATCAAGGAGGGCTCCTCTCACTTTTCTGTAACAGGCATTGCAGTCGATGTTGATCCTCATCACCATGCTACAAAAATGCAAATGCATGATATGTTTTTTGCATAGGAATTAATATAAATGAAGAGTTTCTTTAAAAGAAGAAATCGAAACATTTTGAAGGAAAATGGTGGGGAACTTGCCCTTTCTGTCATGAAGCCTGCAGACTGCAAGCAGGCGTTTTCTCAAGATTCCAGGAAAATGGAGGGGGTTTATACCACAAGAAAGTTTATGCTAAAAGGCAAGATGATGGGAATCTGTTTAGAATGAAAAAGGAATCATGAACAAACTTGTTAAACATAATTAAGTATACCAAATATCGTTATTCGAATCGCGAACTTTAACAACATAGTTTAGTTGCACACATAATGAAATACAAAAAATAAATCATAAACTTTAAACCCTAAATCGGATTCTTTTTATCTCTATAATAATTGGAATCTGATTCTTTTAGAGGGTAGCTTATTGCCTAGTATATATTCTTGACCTATTGGGGTTGTTCCAATAAGTACATAGTTCCATTTCTCTTGTTGGAAAAGGCGTCAGTTTATTGCTTATTTGCTAAGCTTTGTTCTCTTTCACACAAGGAAAAGGCATAACTTTGGACTTAAATTTGTCCCAAATGCAATTAAAGAGAGAATAATTTTAGCTTAAAAGATCAAAAGACCTCAATATTCATGGAATTTTCAACTTTGCTCTGCAATATATGCTAACTATCATACTTGTAACATTATCTCAAAATCATTAGGATAAAGCATTTTCAAAGAGAAACTACAAACATATAAGTTCCAAGTGATTTGTTTTCTCAATCCAGATATATGCATGCCCTTTTAAATTTCCATCTTACTGCAACTACTCCAAACTGGGTGCAACTTCAGTAGGGTTAGATTCGAAGACATCCGAACTAGAGGCATCAAGTTGTTCTAAAAGCTCTTGAGATTGGATCGACTCTTTGTATGCAGGAGTCTCCTTAAAATCTGTTTCCCCTTCGTTGTACGTTGCAACAACAATCCCACAAGCAATCAATTGGTAAAATAGAATACAGAAAACTTGATCAATCATAAAATGAAGAAAAACAAGTAGATTATTTTACATGTTCCATGGGCCAATGAATCATGAAATAAACGACTCGGACACACGCCTTTTCCAAAAAAACAATGTACACTAAGGGGTACACATGGATCTATTGTATTTGTTGCTTAAATGTCAGTATTAAACTCGAAACTCCCAGTGGATGCCCAGTGACCCAAGGGAAGGGAAGAAACTTTCCAGCAATGAAAATTATGTTCTTTGCATTCATCAAATGATATGGAAGTTTTTCAACAATCACAAACTAACAAGCGTGGAAATAGATACCGATACGCAGTCAAAATTCTCCAAGTAATTTTCATAACAAGATTCCCTGTAGATTAACTTGTAATCTTTTACCAAACATTTTTGCCACATAATTACCTATATAAATGCTTTCAAGTTAATCAATAATATGAAAAAGACTCTTCTTGACCAATTGTCTTCAAAGAATTATATAAGATCTGAAACAGGTGAGGAGTTAAAAAGATACTCAGATCGATCATCCACGGAACTTCTCAAACCCAATTTTAAGTAATCCAGGAATGAATCTGCAGATAGTCTACATATCATGGAAGATCGCCTTATCCATTTAGAAGTTAAGAAAAAGAGAAGGCACTGAATTATCCAATGAGAAGTATTACAAAAAAGAGACAGCCCGTGCCATCGTGCCTAAGGCTGAATCAATTGCCATATAACTTCCAATCTTCAGCAGTTTTTGCTCAGTAAGATCATATCTCAATTTTGTTAAGTTGTCAATACCATTCTAACCAAATGCTTTAACATTCTATAAAATTTCTGTAATACCCCAAGTATCGGGTCGGTGACCATAGTGAAAGGAATTAAAATTTTGGTATTTAATTTGAATAAATTGAAAAGTACAAGGATTTATTTAAGAAATTGTGTTTAAGATCTATTAGTAAGAATGGAAGAAATGGAGGGGCATTATGGTCTTTTAGAAGGAAATTAATATAATATTCATTTTATTAAGGGTTAAAGAAGGGGAAAAAGAGAGGATAAGTCTGAGAAACAATCTCTACTCTCATTTTTCTTCTTCGTCTCGTGCCCTTAATAGCTAAGTTAAGGATTCTTCAATGTTGGTTTTTCCTTTTGTTTTTGGGTTGGTTTTGAAACCTTAAGTGATATAGAGTCTTAAGGAAAGCTCAAGAAGGATTAAAACTAAGAGATGAAGGTTTTATTTGAGATTTAATAAAATGAGTTTTTAAATGATTTGATGAAATAGGGTAAGTTATGGAAGTTTAAAGGTATTTTTGACTTGTCAAAGAAGTGAATAAGAGATTTGGAGCCTTAGAAGTGATTAAAAACAAGTTGAAAAAATTGGTATGATTCTTAGTTTTGAGTGTACTTTGAAGATTTTAGATGTTATGAGAAGATTTATGGATGTAAGTTAGTTGGATTAAGTAATGATGAGTTTAATGGTATGGTAGGGGATAAAAGTAAGAGATTTAGGCGAAAATGTAGTAAAAATCGAAGTGAAATATGTAAAATCTAAGTAAAAGTATCGGTACTAGAAGAACAATACCGATACTATAGGGTTACATTTTAAAAAAAAATGATAAACACGATGAACAATATTGATACTTATGCAAGTAGTATCAATACTGAAGTGGGGCATCGATTCCAAGAGGAAAGTATCGATACTATTATTGAGAAATAGATTTTAGAATGTAAAAATGGTATCGGTACTGAAGGGAGTATCGGTACCATAGTATAGAAGTATTGATACCATATGAGGGGTACCGATATTATTCAGCCTGGAATTTTAAGGTAGAATGAACTTTAATAGAATTCGAGATTAATAGTACTTTTGAGTATTATTATTTTTTATAAATGTTAGAAAGTATACTAACATTTGTATTGTATGTATGATTATGGATGCTTGTGTAGATCGTAATCAAGCTCCTGAATCAAGCAAGCAGAAGGGCAAGGATAAAGTTGCCGAATAATTGGACATCAGTAAGGCATACTAGTGAGGCCTACCAGGTGAGTGTTTTTTTTATGTACTATGTGTGAAACCTAAGAAATTTATAATAAGTTTATGAATTTACGTATTGGCACTATATGTGCAGCCCACGTAATTCATAATGAGTTTGTGAATTATCGTATCGACACTACGTGTGCAAAACCACAGAATTTATAATGAGTTGAAATATCAAATTTATATTTTGATAGTTATGATATACTTATGTTTTAAAAGAAAATTTATCTCATTGTTATTACGCCTCACTAAGTGATTACTTAGCGTGTGTTGATTTCACGCGTAGGTATTAGTACGAGCGGAGTAAGGAGTGCATCTAACATCTTTTTGATGAACCTGTATTTTTTTTGGTTGACCCTAGTTCGACACACTCTCATATTAGTACAACGTTGATTAGAGCTAGGGGAATTCCTTTATAACCAATTTTTAGTGAGATGATAGCGATAAACCCTATGGGTCATAGTGCAAGAGTAACGCAAGT